ACAACTGGGAAAATAGAACTACCTTGAAGGAGGCTACAATTAACCCCAAGATTCTTGAAGATTGTGTGTAAATTCTGAGTTTTACAAGTCTTAGAGAAGAGATAGCCGCAGATAAAGCGGTACAACGTATGTAGGATGTGCTTCACCTCTGTGTATCACCTGATGCTAGTCACTTCACTGGTTATATCTGCAGGTTTTCAACCACATTAAGGTGATACATACTGTGTCAGTTAGAGTCAAGACGGCCTCTTTATGTTTTGGAGCAATGGGAGAAGACTGCAACTCATCAGGTGTAGGCTTGTCTGTCAAAGACCTGACCGACTCAGGATCAGACAGACACAGCCTTGGTGGCAGTTAAAGGCTCAAAGATTGCTATTGCCATAGGTAGGTTAGAAAGAGATTCTGCAGGGAAAGGAGCAGGAGCATGCTTACAGCCTCTGTGATTAGAATCAGTATTGCTATTTGTCCCAGAATGTCCCACGTGACTGTAGTGAAATTCTCCTTAGAATGGGAGCTAAAGAAGACTCTAACATGGTGTAGACTCTAACAGAAGGAAAACTTCTGTGTTGTCTGTGTCAGGAGAGGAGACACTGCAGGCAGCACCAACCTGTTAGTGGAATGTAAACTGGAGGCACCTAGAACAGCAGGATTGGACCTCGTGTCTAGAGTCAGACATGTTGGACTGCAAGACATGCAACTTGCTTAGGGTATTGGTAAGGCCTCCAATACTCACAAACCCAACTGCTGGGAAGCAGGTGAAGGGTAAGGCAGGTGAAGAAGATCGTGTCACAGGAAATGGCCAGCAGGGGTGAACTGTAAGCAAGTGAGAAGGTACTTCTTCAATGCTGAATGGGGAAAAGAGACCAAGCATGACACTCTGCTCAGCAGATACCATCAGTCATCAATCCCTCAGCTGTAATACTATCTGTAGTAAAACCATGGGAAAGCAGGAAATTGACAATAGGTCACAGTGATCAAAGGTTACTTTCCAGGCTACCACCACAGTGTCCAGTCCAGCGAAGTCCAGGTACTTTTCTTCAGAGATGTCAGGTCTTTGTTAATTGATCACTATAAAGTGGCCAACAGGACAAAAATTGAGGGGGCAGATCTCTAAAATGGGTTCACTGCATTTAAAACCTAACACAGGTTCTAACCATTACCCATTCTATCTAAAAAAAAAGGTTTGACCTTGAATTGTACTTTGCACAAATGAAATCCTGAATTTTTTTTTTAAATATAACTACTATATCTTATCAAGGTCTGGCATTATATTAGCCGTTCCATGTAATCCTCTGTACAGCAGACCAGAATATGGAGGGGCTGTACTCTGAGCCAATCAGGCTCTACTCACAGTGCTGTTAAACTAACAATTGGAATTGATGGTTTCAGGTTAGAGCAGAAAAAATAGAGGAATCTCCTCATCAATGTGATGCTAATTCTGCATTCACAGGCTAAAACAGGTCCTTGACCAAGCTATGATGCTTAAAGCGGAGTTCAAAAGGGGAAGCTCTGCTTGTCTGCCCTCCTACCCCCTTCCACTGCCACATTTAGCACTTTTTTTTTGGGGGGGGGGAGGGGGGTACCTGTCAAAACTGAGCAAGACGTTCGGGCCCCTCCTGTCTTCTGGGACACCGCCCAGGTCTCAGAAGACTGCTGGACCATTCAGAAGATGCAGCGCGACTCGACCATGCACAGTGGCCACCAGACTGTGTGAAGCTGCAAGCTGTCATAGCCAGGTACCCACAGTTGACATGGCGGCACTAGTGCGAGAGGAGGGAGAGAAGGGTGAGCACACCGCTGGATCCTGGGACAGGTGAGTGTGTTTGTTAAAAGTCAGCCGCTAATGTTTTTGTAGCTGCTGACTTTTAAAAAACACAAAAACGACGACTGGAACTCCACTTTAAGTGAAGTGGACAAAAGTAAAATGAGATCTATGTTCTCTGACAGAGAAGCTTAGATCACAAGCATGGCTAAACAAAATGATAAATCTTAGCAGGTAAGACAGTTCACTGAAGTATTTCAACTGAGTATTTAGCTGCTTTCCTGGAGTTCAGCTTTACATATTCACAATTAGCATTGCCAAGTAAAATATGCAGCCCTTTTTAACCCTTTGAGGACCGTAAGATTTTGGAACGCCAAAAGAATCAATTTTTTTGTTTTAAAGTTTGTACACTTCAGTTGCTGTAACTAAGCCATTTCATGAAATAATTGGCAAAAAGCTAGATCCATTTGTTGTTTGTTGATAAGAACTAAAATTTTGACTCAAACCAAAAAAAAAAAAGAGTTTTAAGTTCTTAATCAGAAGATACACGCAATTAAAAACATGGGACAAATACGTCCCTTGGTCCTCAAAGGGTTAACCCTTAAAAAGGCTTCTGTACTTGAAACTGTCATTAAAACTGCAGAGAGGTAATTGATGGTGAAAAGCTTTTTTATTTAATTTTTTTTTAGCATTCTGTTATGAGTAATTTATATGAATTATGATGTCTTTGGTGAATTGTTGTAAGTCTTTAAAGCAGTACTACTTTTATAAACAAATCTCTTTGAACTGAAGGAATCACAACCTACCATGCTCTTGCAGAGTAAACATATAATGTGTTATTTTTCATTCTCCGGTTTAATATCCTAAGGGGTACACACTAGCTTTCAAGCCATATGGCCAATGAGCACTGTACTATCCGTAATAGCTATTGTGCACACACACAATAAACAACCTTCTCTCTGTGTCAAGCTCCAGCCCTACAGACGTCTCGCACAGTGGAATCTGCACATGCAAATTAGGATCACATTTCACAGCAGACTTACTTCCTCCAGCTGAATTAAAACCATCTTAGTGAAAATTAATTACCAAATGTTCCAAGGTGTGCTCCATATTAATATTCTCTCCAACAGACTCGAGCAGTGGTTTTCTCTGGCTCACTTTCTACATGGGTACAATTTGCCATTTCTCATTTCACTGCTGTTAAACCTGCAGGAACGCAGTTATGGACACAGAAGTAACTTTGCAGATAAATTAATGGATATATTTTGTGTGGAAACCTATTGCAACACACCGCACTATTCTACACAATTAATTTAGAGAAATAAATACGTGGGAAGTGCCAGAAAGACAAAAAGATGGTGAAAAAAAGAGCATAGAAAGACACCATGTGCATTTCTTAAAAAAAATATTAGAATAATCTAGATTAGGGTTATGTTTTTGAAGGTTCTCAGGTCTTGGTGTAACCTGTGGTAGTTAGTCACATTCTGTCACCATAACTGGACGAGAAGGCGGCACTCACAGGCTCAGATTGTGTATATAACAATTTGGAACGTCAGTGCACTCAGCTGATCCCTTGAGAATGTCCATTCAGAGGAAACGCGTCGGGGCGGAGCCTGTGGTGACGTCATCGCGAGACGGAGCTAGCGTCACTGTATACTGTTTGACACACTTGTACTTTTGGAAAAAAATTGAAAATATACACAGTATTTTTAGTGATAAAACCAAGCAGTTTTGCACTATTGGAGACTTATTTGTTTTCTTTTGTCGGATTAACATCTATGGAAGGAAAGATGTGATGCAATTAAGTTCCCCTGTTGGTGTGTCCTGTGGTTCCCTAATAGCTGGATACATTGGCTGCAACAAAGTCCATGCACCTCAGAGCGCTTATAGATCACCTATAATTTGGGGTCTGGTGATCTCAAAAGGAGCCAGCAGCTACCTCCTGTACATAATGCTTACAGCCAAACCACAGCCAGGGATCTGTCATTTGAAGAGACCCTGAGAGGAGGCAAATGCGCAGAATGCATATCCTGTTCCAGTGAAATGCACGCCGCAGTGACATTTCCAGTTCAGGATTTCTATAAATGCCTGGTACTTTTTTTTTACCAAGTGAGTGCATTTATTGCTTATGTGTGATTTTAAAAGAGCTTAGTTTTTTTTTAATAGAAATCATACTTACCTAGGTGGATGCATCATCGGTCTGATGCTGCATCTGTCCCCCTAAGACTGAGAACTGAGCGATCAGACACTGCTGATCACTCAGTTCCCAGTGCTCCGTAAGCAGAGAGCCGGTGACGATCAGTAAAAGGCATTATATGCAAAAGAAAAAGGATAAATTGGGATTATGCTGGCTCATTAAATTTTAACAGTGAACAGTGAATATGCAAAAGAAATAGATCAGGCAATGATTCAAATTTAAAAGTGTAATATAAAGTGCTGTGCTACCTAAACTAAACCAATCACGCTATATGCATAAACCTAGTGCAATATATCAATAAATAAAAGTGCAACAATTATGCATAAAATAACATAAATACTTATACAATCAAGCAAATAAAATTACTGCGTGTAAAAATAGTCTGTGCCTTTTTAGAGGAATCCTCATTGATACAGTTCATCAACAGTTCAATATTAGTGCCATATCCTGGGTTCAGACAGTCCACATGTGATCATAACTGATAGCACTGTCTTCCCATTCATCACTGTGCTCTCAATGCGCTCACCTTGATGATTTGACCTACAACGCATATATGGTCAAATAACACGTGTTGTTTCCAGCAGATAACTCTCAGGTAGCACAACACCTCCTATGCACTTGTAGTGATATCTCAAACTCCTCCTGTCCACTAGGGTGCCTGTGTCTTCCACAGTGTCAGAAATTGGGTGTTGGTCCCTTTAAGGCTGTCTTATGCCCACGCTGCCCTATTAACCACTTGCCCTTCTGAGGATTTACCCCCCTTCCTGACCAGGCCATTTTTTGAGTTACGGCGCTGCGTTCATTTAATTGACAATTGAGCGGTCATGCAATGCTGCACCCAAATGAAATGTACGTCTTTTTGCCACAAATTGAGCTTTCTTTCGGTGTTTTTTTCGGTTGCACCAATAATTTTGATAAAAAAAAACAATATTTTTGATGTTTTGCTATTAACCACTTGCTATAGCTGAATGACGTGATGCGGTAAAAGGCCAATCACAGCGGCCTTTTATCACGTGATCAGCTGTGTCCAATGACACAGTAGATCACCAGTAAATGCAGTTACCGGTTATCAGCTGCACTTTCCTCATGCTGTCAAACTTTTTTTTCAAAATTTTTGCTCTTTTTTTTGTTTATAGCGCAAAAAACAAAACACCCAGCGGCAATTAAATACCACCAAAAGAAAGCTCTATTTGTGTGAAAAAAATTATAAATATTTCATATGGGTACAGTGTTGCATGACTGTGCAATTGTCATTCAAATTGCGACAGTACTGAAAGCTGAAAATTCGCCTGGGCAGGAAGGGGGTAAAAGTGCCCTGTAGACAAGGGGTTAAACATGTCCAGTAAAAAAATTTAAAAAATCAAATTTCATCATAAATTTAGGCCAAAATGTATTCTGCTACACGTATTTGCTAAAAAAAAATCCCAATACATGTAAATTTATTGGTTTACGTGAAAGTTATAGTGTTTACAAATGGTGGTATAAATACAGGAATTTTATAAACTTTTTACTAGTAATGGCGGCGATCAGCGACTTATAGCAGGACTGCGGTGGGCATTCTGACACTAAGGGGGAACTAACTTCCCTGACATCCCCAGTGACACCAATACAGTGATCAATGCTAAAAAAAAAAGCAATGACACTGTACTAATGCCACTGGCCAGGAAGGTGTTAACACAAGGGGCAATCAAAGGGTTAACTGTGTGCTTTTTCACAGTAAGCTCTGTGTGTGTGCTTCACTGAAATCACACTGCTTTGGATGGCTGTGCCTAAGACTAAGGTGTAGTGGTGCACCAAAATGAAAATTACGGTGCTGGAACCAAAAATTCAGGATACACCTGGCCAAAAAACAAAATGGACAGTTTTTAAAAAAATGTTTTTAAATTGAATGCGGCTGGCATTTTTGCGTTGAAGTCAAAAGGGGCGTTTTTGCATTGAAGTCTATGGGATGCGACTTTGTATTAAATCTATGGGATATGACTTTGCTTTAGGGTCTATGGGACACAACTTTGCATTAAAGTCACTAGGGGTGTTTTTTCATTGAAGTCTATGGGATACAGCATGCCATTATCAGCAAAATGATAACCCTATTTTCATCTGATGATTTTTGGCGGCCAATATATCTGTGCATCCCTACCAAGGTGACATCACAAATCAAATCACTGCAATCATATTGCAAGACAAATGTATACTGTAGGCCTGACTCTAGAACAAGTAAGGTCAATGTGTTTTAATAGAGAAAGATTGCTTTTAAAATAGCCATTTTTCGTAATTGAATTACATGAGGATTATTTAGCTTGTATTGCTAAATCAATTATGAAACTCATTTTATAACTGACTGACATTTCAAAAGGGCAAATTTCACCTTAGAGCTCGTTTACACAAGCCTTGTTGGGCAACAATTTTCCTTACGTCCTTTTCTTTCAGTTCAAACAAATGCAACTTAAATGTATTAAGCTGGCCATACATGGAGTTCTTTTGATTAGCCAGCAGGGCTAATCGGAAAAACTGAATGGATTCCCCCATCCACACATTCAAGGTGGATGGAGGAATCCTCCTTGCTGGACCATTGTATTCTGACAGTGGGGGTGACTCCGCTGTCAGCATACACTGAGCAGCACTGCAGCCAATTGGCTTCAGCATTGAACAAAACAAAACATTTCCAATATGACCATAGATCAGTGGTTCTCAACCTTTGGGTCGCGACCCCTTTGGGGGTCGAACAACCCTTTCACAGGGGTTGCCTAAGACCATCGGAAAACACATATTTCTGATGTGTAAAGAGCAGCTACTGTGTTGAAAGCAGCTACTCTGTTAAAAGCAGCTACTGTGCTGAAAGCAGCTACTGTGCTGAAAGCAGCAGTATTGGAGGTAAAATGACACTTCATGAATTATAATTACTGGGTTAATAATTTTATGGTTGGGGGTCACCACAACATGAGGAACTGTATTAAAGGGTCACGGCATTAGGAAGCTTGAGAACCACTGCCATAGATGGATCGAAATCCCTGCTGAAGCAGGCTGAATTTTGATCCATCTCTAGCCAGTTTAGTGTGCTCTGAAAAAAAAGTGGGTCAGGCTTCATTTTTAGTGCCGGTTCACATATATGCAGATTGGATGCGATTTGGACCACATCCAATCCGCATGGCATGTGACATAACATTGCTTCCTATGGTGCCTGTTCACAAAAGTGCGGTGCGGATTCAGTGCGCATTGAAATTGTCATGTTCGATTTCTGAGCAGTGTGGTCTGGTTCAGGTGTGGATTGCAGACTATTTACTTCTATGGGAACTGCTTCTGAATTTCAGGTCATCAGTTGTGACCAGTATTTCAGTTTAGGATCAGGTTTCAGCACAGTTTGCTCTTCCCCACTCCCCTTTCCTCTTAACCTCTGCAAATCCACAAAAGCCTCGCAAAACTGCATCCAAACCAGCCCTGAACCTGTGAACAGTACAGTCTGCAGCTGTGTCACAAAAAAGGGTCTTGAACCGACTCTGAACCACTGAACAAGTAGATTGCAACCTGCACTGAAACTGGACCTTGAAATACAGAACGCACATGTGTGAATTGGTAAAGTGTTACTAAACCCTCAACAGTAAAATCAGTCTGTATATACAGTAAAGCATGCTTGTTATACTGCTGTGGAACCTAAGGGATTCATTCTCTGCATTGTTTAAAATGATGTTTGATCCTGACTTCTCTGATCATCCCCTTCTTCCAGTGTCCTCCTCTTATCTCTTGATAAGACATGTGTGGAGACACTCTGCACATGCTCAATTTAATGTGAATTGCTAAAGAGGTTTTTTTTTTTCCTTGGGAGAATGCATGTGATCAGCACAGGACCAATCAGCACTGTCCAGACAGAGGTCAGGCATTTTGCGCCCCCCTACAGCAGAACTAAAACTCCTCCTACAAGCTTTAAGCTAGTGCTCTGCTGGACACTGATAAAAGTCACAAGACTGCTCTAACTGCTGATGAGAAAAGGTATTTAGCAGTTTATATTTACAAAAATAATTGCATTCCAAGTAGTGTGTACTGTGGGAGAGCAGATATAGTGAATGAAGGGTCCGGGGTTTAGTAACACTTTAAATAGGGCAGCTACAATGCAGGGCAACATATTGTGGTGTGTAGAATTGAATGAAAGTGATTCTAATTGTAAAAATGTTTTTTCTTTAAAAAAACAAACATGTTATACTTACCTGCTCTATGCAATCTTCTTTTTGTTGGGTCCCCTCCTGGCTCCTCCCCCCTTCCAAGTGCCCCCCTAACAAGCTGCTTGCTATGTGCGGGCTTGCTCCCAAGCTTCACAGTCTCTGTCTGTTGACACAGACAGTGGGACTCAGCCCCGCCTCCCGCATTACTGGCTGTGACTGGCCCACCTCCCACGTCACTGGCTGTTTCTGAGCCAATGAGAAGGGAGAGAGCACAGAGAGCCTCTGCTCTTGTGAACATCGCTGGATCGAAATCAAGCTCCGGTAAGTATAACGGGGGGTCTGGGGGGACCTGCACACAACTTTTTTACCTTAACCACTTGACTACCAGGCACTTATACCCCCTTATCTACCAGGCCAATTTTCAGCTTTCAGCGCTGCCGCACTTTGATTGACAATTGCGCAGTCATGTAACATTGTACCCGTATGAAATTTTGATCATTTTTTTCTCACAAATAGAGCTTTCTTTTGGTGGTATTTAATTGCCACTGGGCGCTTTACTTTTTGCGCTATAAATAAAAAAAGTGCAAAAAATTTGAAAAAAAAAAAAAGTTTCTTTGTTTCTATTAAAATTTTTCAAACAGGTATTTTTTCTCCTTCACTGATGTGCGTTGATGAGGCAGCACTGATGGGCACTGATAGGCAGCACTATAGGGCACTGATAGGCAGTACTAATGAGGTGGCACGGATAGGCGGCACTGATAGACAGCACTAATGAGGTGTCACGGATAGGCGGCACTAATATGCAGCACTGATAGGCGGCATTGATAGGTGACACTGATGATGGGTACTGATAGACGGCACTGACTGGCATCACTGCTGGGCACTGACTGGCGGCACTAACTGGCACAACCCCTGGGCACTGACTGGCAGCACTGCTGGGCTGCACTGGTGGGTGGCACTGGTGGGCAGCACTGGTGGGTGGGCACAGGTGGGTGGCACTGGTGGGCACAGGTGGGTGGGCACAGGTGGGTGGCACTGCTGGGCACAGGTAGGTGGCACTTCTGGGCACAGGTGTGTGACACTGCAGAGTGGCACAGGAGGGTGCACTGCTGGGCACAGGTGGGCGGAGCTAGTGGGCGCACTGCTGGGCACAGGTGGGCGGAACTTGCGGGTGGCACTGCTGGGCACCGATCATCAGGGCACTGATCATCAGTGCCCTGATGATCGGTGCCGATCCCCGCTCTGACAACTGCCGGTTCTCGGCAGTACTTTCCTCACGATCTGACAGCGTGAGGAAAGTGCAGCCGAGAACCAGCACTTGCATTTCCCTCTGATCAGCGTGTCATTGGACACCGCTGATCACGTGGTAAAAGGCTGCTGTGATTGGCCTTTTACCACATCACGTGATCAGCTGTGTCCGTAGGACACAGCGATCACGGAGATCGCCGGGTGCGCGCCCCCTGGGGCACGCAGGAGAGCGCGTTCTGGGAGGACGTCATATGAAGTCCACTCAGAACTGGCTGGCCGCAGTGCAGCCGTCATTCGGCTATCTGTGGTCGGAAACTAGTTAATACAGTGAATGTATTAAGGTAAAAAACCGTCTGCCTTTAGATTCACTTTAAATATCCATTTGTGAAAATTCAATTGTTACAAAAAGTAAACAGTGCAATGCATTATATCAATGCGTTGCACAGCGCCCCTATACAAAAGCACCCACTGATATGAATGGGCCCTTAATATACGGAGTATTTTTAAAGACACACACAAAAATACCCTACAAAAAAAATCTAATAATGGGGATAAAAACTCACTTTAAAGACTTTTAACCTACTCAACATCTATTTACTCTTATGTCACCATCATAATATATCATAGAGATAGTTCTACAATTACATCAGCAAAAGAAGGTGGTAAGGATCTCAAACTGATCCTCCAACAATAAGTTGGGTATGTTGAGAAAAATAAAGTTTAATGAGTAAAAAGTTGTAATGACAACAAAAAAAGGGCAAGAAAAAAGTCTTATAACCCTGGATAAAAGATACAAGTCTGTTGTCTACACCCCTCGACAACAGAATGACGTCTCTGTACCTCAAAATAAAAGAAAAGAAAAAAAAGAGAATGGGTTCCTCAGATCTGTCATTGAGTAACCAAAGGAGCACAAAAAGAAATCTATCCCATTAAACCATATTTATCATCTTAAACAGAACAGCATAATCTACATTGACTATAGGATCAATATTCCTGCAGCCGGCTGTGCAATCAGACCATGCTAGCACACAAATGGGCGACATGTCTTTGTACGTAATTTAAGGCTCTGGAAAATATTTTGTGAAAACGGAAAAATATAAAGCAGGAAATAATGGTCTCCTATTCTGTTAACCTTTACTGAGCACAATTAAACTTGCATAACCAGCAGGCATCTTTTCATTGAGGAGGTAAGGAAAAGAAAAGGATCTTTACAGATGAAGCATAAAAGAAGTCTTTGTGGAGGTCAGGTATGAAGAATTGTAAGGAGTGACTGTCCCTAGTGTCATTCAATTCTCTTGGACTCCTTTGAACAGGCAGGATCTTCTGAAAATATATCAATGCGGAAAGGCGAAAGAAAAATGTCACATCGCAGGAAGCGAGTCCCCACTGCTTGCTTATTTCGATCTGCTCTGGTGGGCGCATCAGTTTTACAAAAAAATTTAATAAACAAAAGTTTATTGTACCTTAAAAGCTACATTTGGAAGGGTAACATCAATGTAAAAGAAAAGGGTGGTTTACATTTAAAGTGCACCAGGCACTGGATATATGTACTTTTTTGTACAAAGTGCATGCATGCTAAATAATATATCGAGTCCAACTCCAGGCAATTATTTTTGTTTGTTTCACAGATGTTTACAAAAAAAAAAAAAAAAAAAGCATCTCAGAGTACAATTCTCACATTCAATTCAAAGTTATCACAAGATACCTGTTTTAACCTCCCTAGCGGTCTGATTATGTCAATATTTCTGTGCTCAAAGCGGTACATTTTTTTGCATGGAAATAGGTTGTTTTATATTGTAGGCCTGTAATTCTTAGGAATAACTCACTGAAATCTGTCCGAACAAGAGTCTAGTAAACATTCTGGGTATGGTAAAATTTGGAACACGAAAATCATAAATTCTAATATAATAAATAATCATAAAAAATATAATATAATAATAAATGTAATTCAGTAATATAATCAAACCAAAAACACTGACATTTGAAATAGAGCGCCAAGTTTGAGCTGTCGCAGAATCGTTTTCAGTGTCTGATGACAAATTTCCCCCCGTATCATTATCACTCAATTCTGCAAGTGGTTCTGATTTACTATCGCTGTTCTCTAGCTGATCTAAACCCGCTCAGTTTTCTCAGTTTCAGAAAGAACAGTAAATATGCAGGCAGGGCGCCGGACAAAGCACTCGGGACAAAATGTATGTGAAATGGTTTGATACAGGAATGTTATACTATCAGATTTTAGTGTATTGAGTGAATGTCACATTTTTACATTTTTGAATTTCCCGCTGGTTCCATCCCCTGTACAACCTGATGCTTGCATTGAACAGAACCCTGAAGACGGATGCCGGCATTGGCCAGAGGACATGGCCAGGGACGCTGCAGGGGGGACATCACGTGAGCGCAGGACAAGGTAAGTGCTGGAGGGATCCCTGAGCAATGCTGCAGTGTATTCCCGAGTGTAGCTCGGGGTTATCGCTTCTGGTACTGAAATTGAACCCCGAGCTACACTCGGGAATACCACCAGGGGGGTTAAGCGACATGATGAAGGCAGAAAAAACATAGTTACATAGTTAGTCTGGCTGAAAAAAGACAAAAGTCTATCCAGTTGAATCACAGAGGAAAAAAAAAGTCATATTCCTATACCCACAGTTGATCTAGAGCAGTGGTTCTCAACCTTTCTAGCGCCGCGACCCCTTAATACAGTTCCTCATGTTGTGGTGACCCCCCCAACCATAAAATTATTTTCGTTGCTACTTCATAACTGTAATTTTGCAGTAGGAGGAATAGTGCCATGTCATTGGTGTCATTGGGAGGAATAGTGCCCCATCATTGGTATCAGTGGGAGGAATAGTGCCCCGTCATTGGTGTCAGTGGGAGGAATAGTGCCCCCTTCATTGGTGTCAGTGGGAGGAATAGTGCCCCCTTCATTGGTGTCAGTGGGAGGAATAGTGCCCCGTCATTGCTGTCAGTGGGAGGAATAGTGCCCCGTCATTGGTGTCAGTGGGAGGAATAGTGCCCCGTCATTGGTGTCAGTGGGAGGAATAGTGCCCCGTCATTGGTGTCAGTGGGAGGAATAGTGCCCCGTCATTGGTGTCAGTGGGAGGAATAGTGCCTCGTCATTGGTGTCAGTGGGAGGAATAGTGCCCCGTCATTGGTATCAGTGGGAGGAATAGTGCCCCATCATTGGTGTCAGTGTGAGGAATAGTGTCCCATCATTGGTGTCAGTGGGAGGAATAGTGCCCCATCATTGGTATCAGTGGGAAAAATAGTGCCTCATCATTGGTATCAGTGGGAGGAATAGTGCCCCATCATTGGTGTCAGTGGGGGGGAATAGTGCCCCATCATTGGTATCAGTGGGAGGAATAGTGTCCCATCATTGGTATCAGTGGGAGGAATAGTGTCCCATCATTGGTATCAGTGGGAGGAATAGTGCTCCATCATTGGTGTCAGTGGGATTGGTATCAGTGGGAGGAATAGTGCCCCGTCATCGGTGTCAGTGGGAGGAAATAGTGCCTTGTCATCGGTGTCAGTGGGAGGAATAGTGCCCGTCATCGGTATCAGTGTGAGGAATAGTGCCCCGTCATCGGTGTCACTGGGAGGAATAGTGCCCCATCATCGGTGTCAGTGGGAGGAATAGTGCCCCATCATCGGTGTCAGTGGGAGGAATAGTGCCCCATCATCGGTATCAGTGGGAGGAATAGTGCCCCATCATCGGTGTCAGTGGGAGGAATAGTGCCCCATCATCGGTGTCAGTGGGAGGAATAGTGCTTCATCATTGGTATCAGTGGGAGGAATAGTGCCCCATCATTGGTATCAGTGGGAGGAATAGTGCCCCATCATTGCTGTCAGTGGGAGGAATAGTGCCCCATCATTGGTGTCAGTGGGAGGAGGAATAGTGCCCCATCATTGGTGTCAGTGGGGGGAGGAATAGTGCCCCATCATAGGTGTCAGTGGGGGGAATAGTGCCCCATCATAGGTGTCAGTGGGGGGAGGAATAGTGCCCCATCCTTGGTGTCAGTGGGGGGAGGAATAGTGCCCCATCCTTGGTGTCAGTGGGGGGAGGAATAGTGCCCCATCCTTGGTGTCAGTGGGGGGAGGAATTGTGCCCCATCCTTGGTGTCAGTGGGGGGAGGAATTGTGCCCCATCGTTGGTGTCAGTGGGGGGAGGAATCGTGCCCCATCCTTGGTGTCAGTGGGGGAGGAATAGTGCCCCATCGTTGGTGTCATTTGGGGGAGGAATAGTGCCCCATCGTTGGTGTCAGTGGGAGGAATAGTGCCCCATCATTGGTGTCAGTGGGAGGAATAGTGCCCCATCATTGGTATTAGTGACACCAATGATGGGGCACTATTCCCACTGACACCAATGATACTTACCTTGCAGACCCCTGCTCCAGCCTGGGCTCGCTCGCTCCCTCCCTCTCCCATGGTACCGACACTTACCTGTCAGATGTCTTCCTTCTCCGGCCGCTCTCCTCCTCTTCACTCGCTCGATCTTCGCGGTGCCCGCTCGGCTCCTCCTCTCCAAGCTCCACCTCCTTGCCGGTGATTGGCCGCCTGTGTGCCTCTCCTGAGCTACAGTGCCGGCGGCCAATCACAGGCGAGGATTGATCTCGAGGTGTGTCCAGATGACAGGGGCGGCATGTCATCCCGCCCACACCTGGAGACGGCGGTGGCAGCGGAGGCGGCGAGGAGCGGTGTCTCGGTTCCTAAGACCATCGGAAATATGTGTTTTCCGATGGTCTTAGGTGACCCCTGTGGAAGCGTCGTTCGACCCCCAAAGGGGTCGCGACCCCCAGGTTGAGAACCGCTGATCTAGAGGAAGGCAAAAAAACCCAGCAAAGCATGATCCAATTTGCTCCTGCTAGGAAAAAAATTCCTTCCTGATCCCCCGAGAGGCAATCGGATATTCCCTGGATCAACTTTTCCTATAAATGTTAGTACATGGTCAGTAAACCATGCTGATAAACCTTCAAAAAGATGTAGGCAGCCTCAGGGGAAAATTTAGAGCCCATAATTAGGCTTTAAGGGGTATGTTTACTAAAACTGGTGCACTCACAATCTGATAAAGCTGTACACGGTAGCCAATCTGCTTCTAAGTTCAGCTTGTTCAATTAAGTTTTGACTAAACAACCTGGAAGCTGATTGGTTTCTATGCAGAGCTGCACCAGATTTTGCACTCTCCAGTTTTAGTAAATAACCCCCTAAGTCAGTGTTTCTCAACGTTTTTTCAAGGCAACCTTTAAAATGCTTGCCAGTCTCAAGGCATCCCATTCCAAAATGTAAAATATTAAGCTAATATTTTACATCCTGTAGCAACATCAACACACGCAGAACCCCCAGCATCTCTCCCTTGTTCCCCCAACGTGACCCCAGTGCTGATGGAGTGGGGCAGAAGAATAGCAAACAAGAATGTCGTCTGGCCCCTTACATCCTCTTTATAAACCTATAATGTCATCAGTTGTTAGGCTTAATCCACCCATCGGCTTGCTGACAATTGGCGCAATTTTTAGGAATTTTGCCAAGGCACCCCTGAGGAACCAAGAAGGCACACCAGGGTGTCAGGGCATCCTTGTTGAAAAAGGCTGTCCTGAGTAATACATTTCCAGGTATTTATTACCTTTCACAGCAATGGTAATGACTTCATCTGCTTTTCTCTCCAGAAAGAAAGCTCCATCTTTATTCAGGCATCTTCCAGGATCAGCATCTGCTTCTTATGAAGTTCTTGATTGTATTCACAAATGTCTAAGGCCCCTTTCACATGGGGTGGACTCTATTATGATTAGCAGGGGATCTGTCTGCTCATCTTCTGCTGATCAGAAGAGAGCGGGCTTATGGCAAGTCCATGTCCGCTCACAGACAGAGTCCACTCTGCTCAATGGACCGGTGAGTGTAAACGGTAACCAAGAACAGCTGCACCAGATTTTGCAGATTTTGCATGAGCTAAAATTGAAGGAGTAGCTTCCATTTGGAAAAAAAAACACTTCTGAGTTTGTGAGACGATAAATTTTACTGATATTTAGACTAATTACTACTGTGAACCAATTTTGATGCAATTTGCAGTGCAATTATGTAATGCAACTTTGATGTGACTTTGCTTGCATTTTGGATAAGGTTTGCCTATTCTATGTGGCCAAATCATACTGTAAATCTTATCAAAGTAGCACAGGACGCTTTCCCAAAGTTGGATTGCAGCTGCACTGCATTGACATGAACAGACACCATAGGAAACAAAGCTATTTCCCTTGTCATGCAATTCAGTGCAATCCGATTCACATCTGAAATCACATCAGTGTGAACCAGGGCTTACTGTATTTCAATCAAAGTAAATATACAGTGCCTTGAAAAAGTATTCACACCCCTCGAAATTTTCCACATTTTGTCATGTTGCAACCAAAAACGAAAATGTATTTTATTGGGATTTTATGTGATAGACCAACACAAAGTGACACATAATTGTGAAGTGGAAGGAAAATAATAAATGGTTTTCAAATTTTTTACAAATAAATATCTGAAAAGTGTGGGGTGCATTTGTATTCAGCCCCCGGAGTCAATACTTTGTAGAACCACCTTTCACTGCAATTACAGCTGCAAGTCTTTTTGGGGATGTCTCTACTAACTTTGCACATCTAGAGAGTGAAATGTTTGCCCATTCTTTGCAAAATAGCTCAAGCTCTGTCAGATTGGATGGAGAGTGTCTGTGAACAGCAATTTTCAAGTCTTGCCACAGATTCTCAATTGGATTTAGGTCTGGACTTTGACTGGGCCATTCTAACACATGAATATGCTTTGATATAAACCATTACATCAAAATACATTTACGTTTTTTGGTTGTAACATGACATGTTAAAATGTTGAAAATTTTAAGAGGTGTGAATACTTTTTCAAGGCACTGTATAACTATACTCTATGTTAGTCTATCTGAGCCAGAGCGACACAGATGACAAGGAGGGAATTTGACAGAAAAATAAATTCTGCCAACAAAACAAAGAACATTCCTCCTTCAATATACGGCTTTTAGCTCCTGAACACAAATTGCCAAATGGAATTAATAAAGGCAAATTCATTAACGGTCTAGCACGTCTTGCATTTCTTCCAGCTATAATTATTAGAAGTGCATTAATGAAGTGTCTTATTCAGAGAATTAATTTGATTGCTTATATTGGGTCAAGAAAAATAAAATTCCGACTGGCATCGCTCATATAAACGAAGAACAGTCTCATTGGGTACTTCGTGTCCTCCTTTGGATGAGCACTTTTAGAATTCATAAGAATATGTCAAACTTGAGAGGCTGCATGTACGTTTTCAGATGTTAAGTAGCGATGACGCTTATTTGTGAAAAAGCACATTAGAATATACTGAGGATTTATTTTAACATGTACAGAATGAAAAATGATCTTTTGGTAAGTGATTCTGCTTTAGAAGACATCTAGAGAAAGACACCCTTTTTACATAAGACTAGAGAGGATTATGGAAGAACATATGTACTTTATAAATAAAAGATAAAGGCACATAATGACAAAATTATGCCTTGCGCATTACCCACTGAACACTGAGGCACAATTATGTATGTTATTCCTATGCCTGAACTCGCTATAGACTTCTTTCTTTGTCAAGGAGCCTGTCTAGGTAAATCACAGGATCAATGATCACAACTCTTTCCACTATCAGAATAATGAATTCGATTTCAGATTTCATTTTAACAAAACAAAAGAGATGTCTACATCTTTACATTAAGGAAAATACAATCTTGTTTCTTTCAGGCTTGGGAATAATGATCTACTTGCTAGAACTCCACCTTATCCATAGCCTCTTGCTGCTAGTACAGAGAGGCCCAACAATGGACTACAGAAGACTTTGACAGTTACCAAGACAACATTCAAAGGGCCCAACAGGAAATCCGGCATCAAGGACCCATTGCCGCGAAGTGTAATTACACTTCATAATGTGCAACACGAAAACCAAAGGAAGCTGCTACTTTGGTCCATTGTGTTTGAGTGCCCACAAAAAAACAACAAACTGTATTATCACTCCTACTACATAACACTTAAAAGAATCCTCAAACCCAAGTCATATAATTTACTTTTTCAGTTGTAATATATGAATGCTTTTTTTCAAAGTATACAAACTAGTTAACTTTCCTGGCGGTATGATCATGTCAGGAAGTTTGTACCAAAAGCATTTTTTGTACCATTTTTTTGCATGGAAATATGTATTTTCTTTATTGTAGGCTGTAATTTAGGAATAACTCCCTGAAATCTGTCCGAACAAGAGTCTAGTAAACATTCCGGATATGATAAAACTTGAAACACGAAATCATAAATTATAATTTAATAAATACTCATAAAAAATAATAATATAATAATACATTTAATTCAATAATATAATCAAACCAAAAACACTGAAATTTGAAATATAGCGCCAAGTTCGCACATCACTGAGCAAAGTCGCAAAATCGTTTTCAGTGTCTGATGACGAATTTCCCCCACGAATCATTATCACTCAATTCTGCAAGTGGTTCTGATTTACTATCGCTGTTCTCTAGCCGGTCTAAAACCGATTTTGACCTAAAGGGACGCTTTTTGGATGCCATGGACATTTCTAAGTTTCCAGGCAGAAAGAACAGTTAAAATGCAGGCAGGGCACAGGACAAAGCGGGTAGGGACAAAATGTATGTGAAATGCTTTGATACAGGAATGTTTTGCTATGAAATAATCGTTTTAAAAAATTTTCTCTTTTTTTTAAATTTTCAAATTTGCCGCCGGTTCTGGCGCCCAAACGTCCCGACGTCACAGGGACCGGAACACGGAAGCCAGATGCCGGAATCGGCCAGAGGAGATGGCCGGGGACGCTGCAGGGGACGCGGGAGTGAAGGACAAGGTAAGCGCTGTAGGCAATCCCTGTGCAACGCTGCATGGTAAGCCCGAGTGTAGCTCGGGGTTACCGCTTTTGGTACTGAAACTTTACCCCGAGCTACACTCGGGAATATCGCCAGGGAGGTTAAAAGGCATTTTGTGGGCATCTTGTTAAACTGCTTCTGTTGAAGTTCAATTAAACCACCTTTGGTATTACATGCATGCAGTCAGGCTCCCTTTAGGCTGGATTCGCACCTTTGCATCCTTGATGTTTTGACCATCAAAATCAATGGATATGTATCAAAATGCAATGCAACATGTGTGTTAAGATGCAAATGCATCATGACGCGCATCAACACATA